TTGGCTGCTGGAGAACACCGGCCCACATGGTGGTTTTCTGAGCTGGTGTTCACCAGTTCCTCTACTTATGCTGAGACACTTGGAGGATCCTGGTGTTGATGCTTTGCCTGAGCCATCACCCTGGGGCTCAGGACGTCCCCCTGGTTTGCTGAGATGGGGCTTGCTGGGGTGCTTCCTGTGCTGTACTGTTCCCCCTTCCCCAGAGGGAGAGGAGCCCTTCCCATAAATCCCCTAAGTTTCCTGGGCTACAAGACCACTATACTCTTTCTTTTGGCTCAGCTGTTCCAGGGTTTTTCCTAAGGTGATATTTCATAGGATTTCAGAGGTCAATAAGGGAGGGTGAGAACGACTTACTTCTTACACCACCATCTTGACTCCCAGACCAGAAGTCTCCCATCCATCTCTCTCTCTCTCTCTCTCTCTCTCTCTCTCTCTCTCTCTCTCTCTCTCTCTCTCTCTCTCTCTCTCTCTCTCTCTCTCTCTCTCTCACTACTGTAGAATACAATAGGACTATCACCTTTCTATTCCTGGAAGTTCTATCTCTTTTAATACAACTTAGTACTTCTCAGGACATTAGCTACCCAACATGCCCCCTTCCCATATTGTACAGGTGGTGAGACTGATTTTTTTTCTGCACTCAAAAGCAAGAATTTACATTTATCCTTATTCAATTTCAGCTTAGATTCAGTCAACTGCTCTAGCCCATCAAGATCTTTTTTTGGATCCTCATTCTGCTGACCAGCTTTGTATTCTCTACAAATCTGATGAGACTACCCTCTCTGCCTTTATTCAAGTCATCAATAAAAATGAAGATTGCTGGGGAGGGGGTATTACACTAGACTTCCTGCCACATGGATCAGGTCTTGCCTGGCTAATCTCATTTCCTTTTTTGACAGAATTACTGAAACCGGCAGAAGAAAGAAATGCTGTGAACACAGTTCAACATTTACTCTTGGAGTGTGGCCTTTCAATAAGTTCTGTAACCATTTGGTTGTATTAGTATCTTATCCGTGACTTTCCATTTTCCCCATATGAATTGTATGAGGCACACTGTAAAAGTTTTACTGAACTAGAGGTGAACTATGTCCACAGCATTTCTTTCTTCTACTGGTTTCAGTAATTCTGTCAAAAAAGGAAATGAGATAGCCAGGCAATACCTATTCATGATGAAGCCATGATGGCATCCATCTTCCCATTCTACATATTTAACCTCCACCTCCTTAACGATTCATTCTAGAATTTTCACAGGCATCACATTCAAGCTCAATGACCTATATTTTTTCCATACTCTGTTCTCTTCACTCTTTGAAAACTGGGGCAACATTCACCCTTCTCCTATGTTGTAATGTCTTTCCCATTTTTCCGTGATATTTCAAATGCTACTGTCAGTGGCTCAGCAATCACATCTTCCAGTTTTCTCAGTACCTGAGAACATAGTTCAACTGGGCCAGGTGTCTTGAATTTATCAAAAGCCACTTGGAGCTCTCTTACTATCCTGTTAATGACTTTTTATTGTCATTTCCAGGGCAAAGGTCTCTCTCCTTGGCAGATAAAACAGAAGCAAAACAAGAATTAAGTAGTTCTTTCTTTTATCCATTATTGGTTGTCATCTCATTCATTCTAATCCATGTTCCCATTCCTTTTTCGATCTTCCTTTTCTTCCTAACATAGCTTTAAAAACCTACTTGCTGCTAGCCTCAGCTCATCCTGAGCTTTCACATTACAGATATGTTTTTTACAGCACTATGCCACATTATTAAATTCACCTTCCTCTGTTATCTGGCCTTGTTTTCATCTTTTGTACATTTCTCTTTTAAATCTAATATAATTGGCAATTTCCCTGTGTAGATACATTAGTCCCTTCAGACAAATATTTTTCCTCCATCTTTCCTGGAATTACTTCTCTGTATGTCTTCAGAATTTCCTTCCTGACTATTTCCCATCCCATATGGTATGACTTCCCCATTATCACTTTACTCCATATTATCCTTACCTATATTTCCTCTGAACCTGGTAAAATCTGCTTTCCCCAAATCTTGAGAGCATGTCAGACTGTTCCCAGATTTTCTTTCCTTCTCCATCACAAAATAGGAGGCAGGGATCATTTTTTTCTATAGGGTGTCCCAAATTCCCATACTAGCAACTAGTTCCTCCCAATTAGTAAGAATCATCAGATCTAGAAGAGTATTCCCTTGTTGATTCTTCTATTTGTTGGTTAACATTATATTAGAAACTATGTTCCCTCTTATTCATGAACTGTGGTTATTTTTATATAAATACTTGAAGTGATGGATTTTGCTACTGGACCCCTTCTTAGAGTTTACCTCCTGTGGGCTCCAGGAAATTTAAATATTATTATTCATTCTTTGTGTCTACTCTCCATAGTATCTAACTTTGGGGCTACACAGATGGTCTTATCCCAGCCTTCTGCTTTTTTTAAAATATAGTTTAAAGCCCTTTTGATAATATTTGCAATACACTTGGCTAAGACATTCTTCCCAGCCATAGTGAAGTATATACCATTTCTTACTAGGAATCTGCCATCCCTGTACTTTAAATCCAAAACTTCAAGTCCCATTACCATATTACTTCCTTAGCCAGCTGTTTACTTCTTAAATTAAACTTTGTTTTCTGTATCCCTTACTTTTAATCATCAAAGAGGAAAAGAAAACATTTCCCCCTGTGATGTTCAGTTTCCTGCCCAGGACTTCATAATCACTGTCAATACTTTTTCAGTTCCTTCTGGTACTATCATTTGTACCCATATAAATTACCAGAAGTGGTAAGTGTAATTGGTTGTAATTGATTTTGATAACACTTGAGACGTTATCTGTTAGAACTGTGGGGATAAAAATTATCTAACCTACAATAAGAGAAATTGAGGCAGAGTTCTGAGCCAATAGCACTTTATTAAAGGGTCTATGGTCCCCTCTAATGAAGTGGACCTGAGATCTTCACAATCTGAGTTGCCCCCTCCTTTTAGGGCCTTATTTTTATAGTCTGATATCTAAATATTCAAGAACAGCTATACCAGATACAGAATAATTTCAATGGCCGACATATGATGCATAGACTAAAATAGGCAAAACAGTATATCAGCAGGGTCTTGAGTTGGGCAAAGCAAGGAATATCTCCACTGACTAGGTGGTCATGAGGTGGTCATAAGAAGGTCACAAGAAGGTCACAAGATGGGCACCTGCTCAGAGAATGATCTGGAGGCACAAAAATAATTTTAGTAGACTTTCCAAGTAGTTAAGGCACCTTTGTCACACTGGACTTGGTTAACACAAGAAAAACAATGGATGGCCTCCATCCAGCTTCCCACATTTACACAAGTGATCTTACCATCTGCAGCTCACAGCTCTGAGGCCAAATACGCAGAACACAGAACTCAGAATCTTATCAAATTGATTGATTCTGATTGGAATGGAGTAGAGGTCTTCAATGAATCAACTTCCTCATTACATGTGCCTAGGAAAACAACAGACCTCACTACTACTGCTAATAAGTCAAGAAAAATGTCCCCTACCTCTCAGAGGAGAATCACCAACTAATGCTACCCTTTCTTCTTTCTCTAATCCAAATTAGATAATTGCTCATAATAATATTTGTGGCTATATTATATAATTCCTTGAAGAACAAGAAGCTTCTCCCACCTCAGAGCATCCAGATCTTGAACAGCCTAAAATCTGTTTTCTAAGTTCCAATGCCCTTTTCCCTCTCCTTCCCTTTCTTCTCTGTATAATATTCTTTCACTTTCTAACACCCTTATAAGGATGTATAAGTATATATAATGTATAAGGAACAAAATATCTGAATTGAGAATGGAAGAAGCAAAATATTTTAAGTCATTTTTTTTTTAGAATAGTCCTCAAAAGAAAATGTAGGATTACTGGAAGAAAAAGTAAGAAAGGTTTAAAAAAAAATGCAGTTTTCTAAGAAGAGTTGAATTAGCAGGAAAGGAACTGACATTAAAAGGTAATGTCCCATGCATCCCTGAAAAAATTTGTTTGCTAATATTTCAATAACAATTAAAATATGAAACTCTACAAATTACTAAGAAAGCAAAGCAAGATTCAGGTTTTTTAATAAAGAGATTAGATTTCTTATCTTAATAGTTCTAAGTAGAGGTATGATTAAGAATTATAATTCTCTAAAATTACAAAGGGAAATGAGGCTGTTTTATGATGAAATTATTAATATTCACAACTTTTAAAACTCAGTAATCCTCACACACAAATTGTTAGGTTTCATTTAATATATAAGTTGTGACAAGATGGCTTCCAAAATAATGAAATGTCTTAAATAAGAACAAGAAGAGGTTAATCGTTAATTAGGGAGCTGAAGAATGGGTTATAAAAGGGCAACTGTTAAAATTGTTACATGTGTTAATGGTTTGGCTATTGGGCTTAAAAATCATCAAGGTCTAGATAGGGGAATAAGGTGAAGAATAGTCAATTTCTATTTTAAAATCCACATACATTAAACTTAAGAGTGACAAGATAGTGTTTACAATATTATTCCTTCAGGGAAAATGTATGCAATTTATTCCCTACAAATTATTTATTGGTTTTAAATAGTAATTTCCTTTGGGAACCTTGATTAAAATGTATAATTTAGATACATGGACACAAAGATGGCTATATGAACCTAATCACTGCTAAAAGATTTTTCCAAACCATTTCCTTCTGTTCCATTTCCTCAAAAGATGTGATTAACCACCAGTTCTATTCATTTCATAATCAGGCTATAGAATTAAAGCTTGTCACTTGGAAAATAACAACAAAATTCTTTGAGGAAATGAGCTTGCAGCTTCACGTGAGCAGATACTTTTACACAATCAGCAGTGGTACATCACCTTATATTTATTTTTTACTCTCTTTTGTAAGGAAACAAGGGCTTTTGGATTAAAAATACACAATACTGAATTTAACTAACAAAGAAAAGGCCTTACAAAAACTTTAACACAGAGAATCTCAAAAACAAGTTACTTCACTTACCTCATAATAGCTTCGAACTGCATTACAAAATGCTTCATCTGCTACGATTTGGGTTTCCCCATTAAGGAAGGCCAGAAATCGTTCTTTTAATATCTGCAACTGTTGTTTATTAAGCTGTAAAAATGACAGAAGATTGGGAGAAAGTTAGCTGCTAAAGCCCAATGTAAAGACATGTAAATGGTTTACTATAGGATAAATTTTACAAAAAGAATAACAATGTCATGTAGAAGTTTACAAAGGAAAATAAAAATTTCCTGATTATTTTGTCCATTTTTTCTGGTTCAATTTAAAATACTTATATTACCACCATAAAATCATTTTATAATACACAAGTACCTCTGAAATATAACTACTTCAGGGTCTTGTCATAGTATCTCTTCTATCTCCAAAATTCTGAAAAGGCCAATTTTTATATTCTGAATTTATAATGTTTATAGGTCACCAGATATAGCAAAATATCAAATGATTATTAATGAGATTAAATCTAAAATGAGGTTTTTAATATTTTGCTACCTGGAGTTCCATGACATACCATTTTCAAGCTTGAATGGATTTAAGATTCTTGAAGCAATGGACTGACTTGCTATTCTGAGATTCTCTAGATCACATCCTTTTGATTACTTTGAGTACAATACGCAAATATCAAATGAGGAATAATAAAATATAACCAAAATTATTTTCAAAGATCTGGCATCACGATGTGGAAATGAACACTGAAGTATGAATCAAACTAGCTGGAGTTTAAGTTTTCATTTGCCTTGGGGAAGAAGTTGGACTTTGGTTTCCTCACATGTAAAATGAGGAAATTATACTATCTAATTTCAATGATCCCATCTAATATGAACATTCTATGATCCTATAGTAATCAGCCATGGACAACTACAAGCTGAATTTGGGTAAGGAGTTGCACTACAGACAATAAAGCAAGTGTTGGAATGCATAAGGGGGAAAATAAAAAAAAAAATTCCATCATAGGCTCTATTACCAGAAAGAAATATGGTGAGTCTTGAGATAGCTACAAAGATGATAAAAAGTTTGGAAAATAAAACATATGTGAAAAAGCTAAGGGAAGCTGCATGAATTAGCCTAGGAAAGATGACTACACAAAATCAACTGAAATCTATGTTCAAAAATCATATTAAAATTCTATTCAAATATGATCCGTATTATGGGACATGATTTCTTTAACAAGATGCATTTCTAAAGAAACTTGACAGAGAAGGCAGTTTATAAAGAAGGTGTTGCTAGTAGCAACAGGCTGATTTAAAAAGTGCCCTATTCCATACAGATCAGTTTAAACAAGCTCTAGGCTGAGCAGAGAAGAAAGAGCTATTTCACTCTTCTACTAAAGTTAGTTCACGATTTTTTTTTGAGATGGGGAGAGAAGAAGATACTTTTATTGCCTCTGTGACATCACATTGTACATTTTTCCCCCTCCCTCTTAAAGAAGAAAGGGCTTTGGTACTAGAAAGGCAAACCTATCTTTCTTTAATTCAAGCAAACTAATAAAGAGTACAAATTATCTGTTGTCAAGATAGACAGATGATAACTATATGTTCAGGGATAAATAGATTACGTTACTTTGATGTAAAACTGATCTAGTTAAGACAAGACCATCAAGACAGATTTTTGGTTCTGTCTTCATACTCAAAGTCAGTTAAAAGTAGAAATGTTAAATATGCGTGATAAATGGTGAATCAGATTAATAAAATTAACTCAGTGAATTAGAGTGATAAAATTTTAGAGCCAGAAGGGCCATTTTACAAATTAGGGAATTGATGTCCAATTTAATCCAAACTAATCTCAATCTGTCATGCATTTATTAAGCACTTAAAGTGTACAAAACACTTCTAAAACTGTGAAACTACCAAATCTGAATAAGACTCAGTTCTTGCCTTCATTATATTGTGCAATATATTCTTAATTGGTAATATTCTGTAACCCATTCATTCCCATGATAAGTCTCTCAATTTTCCTTTAAGTGACCCTCAATTTTGATTTTTTGGACAGTGATGATTATTCACTCAAAGAGTAATTCTCTATAGATGGTGGGTTCCCCAAGATGACCCTTTTTTAAATTAATTTATTTTGATTTATCAACAATCACATTCATATGCTTTTGAGTTTAAATTTTTCTCCCCCTTTCTCCCCACCACCCTCCCCAAGATGGCGCACAATCTGATATATGATATATGGATATATAGATACATATAGATATATATTCTTATTAAACATATTTTCAGATTAGTGATGTTGTAACAATTAGAACCAAAAGGAGAAACCACCAGAAAGAGGAAACAAAACTCAACAGAAGAGAAAAAAAATAGCAAACATTATGCTTCGATCTGCATTCAAATTCCATAGTTCTTTCTTTGTATGTGGATAGCATTTTCCATCACAAGGCCTTTGGAGATGTCTTAGATCCTTGTATTGCTGGGAAGGGTTAAGTTTATCAATATTCGTCATCGTACAACATGGCTGTCATTGTGCACAATGTTCTCTTGGCTCTGCTCACTTCACTCAGAGTCAGACCATACATGTCTTTCCACATTTTTCTGAAGTCAGCCTGTTCATCATTTCTTATAGCACAACAGTATTCCATTACATTCATATGCTACAATTTGGTCAGCCATTCCCCACTGATGGGCATCCTCTCAATTTCCAATTCTTTGCCACCACAAAAAGAGCTGCTATGAATATTTTTGTACATGGGGGTCCTTTTCCCATTTGTACGATCTCTTTGGGATACAGCCCTAGAAGTGCTATTGCTAGGTCAAAGGGTATGCACATTTTTATAGCCCTTTGGGCATGGTTCCAAATTGCTCTCCAAAATGGTTGGATCATTTCACAACTCCACCAACAATGCATTAGTGTTCCAATTTTCCCACATCTTCTCCAACATTTATCATTTTCCTCTTCTGTCATGTTGGCCAATCTGATAGGTGTGATGTGGTACCTCAGACTTGTTTTGATTTGCATTTCTCTAATCAATAGTGATTTAGAGCATTTTTTCATATGACTATAGATGGCTTTAATCTCTTCACATGAGAACTGCCTGTTCATATCTTTTGACCATTTATCAATTGGGGAATGACTTGTATTCTTATAAATTTGACTTAATTCTCTATATATTTTAGAAATGAGGCCCTTATCAGGGAGACTGGTTGTAAAAAATTCTTTCCCAATTTTCTACCTTCCTTCTAATCTTAGTTGCATTGGCTTTGTTTGTGCAAAAACTTTTCAATTTAATGTAATCAAAGTTATCCATTTTGCTTCTTGTAATGTTCTCTATCACCTTTTTGGTCATGAATTCTTTTGTTCTCCACAGATCTGATAGGCAAACTACTCCTTGCTCTCCCAGTTTGCTTATAGTATCAGCCTTTATATCTAATCATGAACCCATTTTGACTTTATTTTGGTATATGGTGTGAGATTTGTCTATGCCTAGTTTCTGCCATACTCTTTTCCAGTTTTCCCAGCAGTTTTTTCAAAGAGTGGGTTCTTATCCCAGAAGCTGGGGTCTTTGGGTTTATCAAATAATAGATTACTATAGTCATTGACTACTGTGTCTTGCATATTTAACCTATTCCACTGATCCACCCCTATTTCTTAGCCAGTATAAGCAGTTTTGATGATTGCTGCTTTATAATACAATTTAAGATCTGGAATGGCTAGGCCACCTTCCCCTGCATTTCTTTTCATTAGTTCCTTGATATTCTGGACTTTTGTTCTTCCAAATGAATCTTGTTATTATTTTTTCTAACTCTATAAAATATTTTTGGTAGTTTGATTGGTATGGCACTGAATAAGTAAATTAGCTTAGGTAGGATTGTCATTTTTATTATATTAGCTCGGCCTACCCATGAGCAACTGATGTTTTTCCAATTATTTAGATCTGATTTTATTTGTGTGAAAAGTGTTTTGTAATTGTGTTCATAGAGTTCCTGGGTTTGTTTTGGGAGGTAGACTCCTAAATATTTTCTAATGTCTACAGTAAATTTAAATGGAATTTCCCTTTCTATCTCTTGCTGTTGGGCTTTGTTGGTAATATATAGAAATGCTGATGATTTATGTGGGTTTATTTTATAGCCTGCAACTTTGCTAAAGTTGTTTATTATTTCAAGTAGTTTTTTACTTGATTCTCTAGGATTCTCTAAGTATATCATCATGTCATCTGCAAAGAGTGATAGCTTTGTTTTTTCTTTGCCTATTCTAATACCTTCAATTTCTTTTTCTTCTCTTATTGCTAAAGCTAACATTTCCAGTACGATACTGAACAACAGTGGTGATAATGGACATCCTTGTTTCACCCCCGATCTTACTGGAAATGCTTCTAGCTTGTCCCTGTTATATATAATGCTTGCTGAAGGTTTTAGATAGATGCTATTTATTATTTTAAGGAAGACTCCATTTATACCTATGCTCTCTAGTGTTTTTAATAGGAATGGGTGTTGTATTTTGTCAAAAGCTTTTTCTGCCTCTATTGAGATGATCATGTGCTTTTTACCAAGATGATCCTTTTTGAAAATAACACTGCACTGGTTTATCTAGTCTTGGACTACTGGTTCTATTCTCCACTTCTGCAAAGGACCTGCAATATCCTCAATGTGGATTTTCACTTCAATGATGTAGGTCAGGATTTATTTTTGTCTGTACATTCTCTGACTCTCTGTGTCAATATTCTACCATAAGTTCACTATAGAGTCTGTTCAATGCCCTAAGAGCCACCCTCACACTTCCTTCACATCCAAATGATACTAAGCGAACATTCAGTCTCTCCATCACATATCACTTTTGTCACATGACCAACCCATCTTCTTTTTCAATCACACATTTCTTTGATGATGTACTTTACATCCCTTCTACAAAATACTTGTTTGTACTGTGTTACATCCTATGCATGTCCATTGTACACCTCAACTTTGCTCTTTAGATTTTTTTTATTCCTCACATTTTTCATTCAATTGTGTGATGGTAATGATATAGTCTATTGTGGAATATCATTTGCAAAAGTCCTCCTGTTCTCTTCTCATATTTTCACCAAGGCTACTTTCAAAGATGTATAAATTAATCTAAAAAAACCTTAATATAGATGGAATATTAGGTTTACTAAT